TGACAATACTTCCATTTTTGCAGCTAAGTAGGAAGGAAATGCTAATGCTTCTTTCTGATCTCATTGTGTGTAGCTTCACAGTACAAACACAGTGCATTTGCACTGTGTAGAATATAGCAGAGATAACACTTTTACTCAAACACTTTTACTCAAAGTTCTGCTTCCACGGGAGGACAACATAATATTTGACTCTTCTGTGGGTGGGCTCTCCCACAATTTCAAAAAGACAGGCAATAAAAGTCCAGTTTGAGCACTTGGCATTTGTATATGAGGTTATTCAAGAACCAAAAATTGAGTACAATCATTGTGTACTATCTCTCTTCATTCAGCTGTGCTACAGAGATCAGTAACTACTAGCAACTTAACATTTAGACCTGTTCATTAGGCTGATGAAGATGACAGGAAGCAAGGAAAAGAAAAAAACAATAGGATCTTCCCTTTTTGTTTACCGAGCTCCTTCACTGTGGTGGCTCCTACACTGTGTGAATGCTTTTGCACTCTTGTCTGAAATGATAAAAACCCTGTATTCGTATACAGATATTGTGTGTGTGTAATTCTCTTGTCTCAAGTACTTTCTTTGGTGTTCTGATTTCTATTTAAAAATAAACTTTTTATTTGTAGATGTTCTGAAAGTCTTTCTCTGCTGGGCTGCATCATTTGTATTTCAGTTTTGGTTATCCTTGACTTGTTCTGCATGGGCTAATGTAGGTTCAGCATCTGGATGGCTACAAGTTTCCCATCCCTGATTTAATTCACAATTATTAGATATATATACCCCTTTGCTATAAAAATCTTGAGTCTGCCTTCCTTCTTGTTTCTTAAACATCTTTCCTCCCACTCTTTCAATTTCTATTAGTCACAAGTTCTATCAGGAAGTTCTATGTTTCTTAAAATTATCTTTTATTTTACAATACTATGCTCTGGACTTTTTAGACTGCACAAAACAAGACAGGTAGATAAGGGCAGAAGTTTGTATTTGAGCAGTGCAGCACCTTTGTAATGTGTTGTCCTATAGGGGAGGAGGTATTTAGGGTCTTCAGGGAGAGAAATGTCTTGGTAACACTAGTTAGACTTAGGCATGCTTATTCTGAGTGTGTCAGATCAATTTCCTTATTTGTTTTTCCCAATTTTTGTGGTTTCAGGGTGCTAGATCATAGGAATTAATTTTTAAAGGCTACGTAAGTACCAAAATGTAGCTGTGAATGGTCTTCTGTAGTGTGTCCACTGACAATGTGTACCCTTAATGGGAGGGACAGTCCTGATTAATCCTTTGTCATCCCACTTTTTCAGATGCTTTTACAATGTCCTGGTTTCTTTCCCTCCCTCACCTTTTGTCCTCGGCTTACTTTTCAAATTGTGTTCAAAGAGAAAACTAGTTTACCTTCAGCTAACTTATGGGGGGGGCTGAGAGGAAGGGGCAGAGTTTTGCCCTTCAAAGAGGCCCAGTTAAAATCAAACGGCTTCAGCCTCTCCTAGCTTATATGTTCTCACTCATTAATAACTTTTTTGTCCTTTTGACCACACTGATGTTGTCTAGCCACCTGTGCCCCAATTTCCATTTGTGAAATGCAGGAGGGGATGGCAATACCTCTTTCACAATACTCCAGTCCATTTAAGC